TCTAGAAACTTCTTGCATTCCTCGTTTATTAGCTTGAGGCTTTGCATCTCGCTGTCGACACTTGGGTCTCTTAATTGTTCTTGAATGTCCTTGAGTTGCTGTTCAGAGTCCATCCATTGCACATAGGCATCTTCCTTATCTCCTTCCACTGCGTGTGCCCATTCTGGGGAGAGTTCCTCCTTCTGTTCGTGGTAGAGTTTGTATAATCTCTCCCAGCTTCTTTCATGGCACCTGTGGATGGTGTGCCATTTCTCCATCAGATGTGAGTGCATGGCTTCTGTGAGCTTTCTGCATTGTCTAAGATCGTATTGACCCTGAGACATTTTGGGCTTTGTTGAGGCTTGAGTTTCAGCCTCTGCGTACTGGTCAAGGTTGGCTGTTTGCAGCATCTCTCCTTGACTGACTGGTTGGGGTGTCTCAACTAGGCTGGTTAATTGAGCCCCTTTGTCCAAATCAATAAGACACTCCTCCATGGTTAGGGTAGGTTCCGTGTCCTTCTCAGCTATTTTGAAGAGAATTTGAAGAACTTCTCTCTTTGACCACTAGGGGTTGCTACTGAGGTGCTGTCTGTGGGTGGAGATGCCACTGGGTGCGTTCTCCTGTGTTTGTGGGTACTTCAGTGCAGTTCACCCTTTCACCACTAGGGGTCACTTGCTGTGGGTCAGCTATCAGGGTGCTCTGGCTTCGAGGTTCACCCTTTGTCCACTAGAGGGGCTTCTCTGGGTGCGGTTAAAGGCTTGCGTGTAGAGCTTCCTTTAACCACTAGGGGGCGTCTGGAGAAAAGCTAGCCAAATTCTTCCTATTGCCACGTTACTGCTAGTGAGCCACTGAGAGAATGTAGAGGTACAAACTCCCACCTGGCGAGTTGCAGGCTGGAACTCCGGGTCATCAGCTGTGATAATAGGTGAAGGCAATTGGCTCTTGCTTCCTGTCTCTCAAGCTGAAACAGCTTAGCCTTCAGCTTGAGTGAGTGAGTACTTTTGGTAAGTTCACTCTGTGCCCTCTAGGGGGTGTTAAAAAGGCTAGCCAAATTCTTCCTATTACCATGTTACTGCTAGTGAGCCACTGAGAGAATGTAGAGGTACAAACTCCCACCTGGTCAGTTGCAGGCTGGAACTCAGGGTCATCAGCTGTGATAATGAGCGAAGAGACTTGGCTTTGATTTCTTCTGCCTACGTTCTCTCAAGCTGGAACAGCTTAGTGCTCAGCTTGGGTGAGTGAGTGAATGCTTCAGATAAGATCACTCTGTGCCCTCTGGGGGGTGTTGGTAGCTTGGGATAACTTTAAGTAGCTTGCACTTTAACTAACAGATTTGCTCTGTTGTGTGCTGAATTAATTGTGGCTGTTGTGACTCAGCTAGAAAAAAAAATTTCATGACCACCAGGGGGTGCTTCTGCGATGGTTCCTCCTTATAACATTGGCTGAAATTCCGAGCATACCTAGGGCTGTCACTATGGCAACAGATGAGTTTATTGAAAGGCAATAAACCTTGCTTTTGTCTGAACTTTAGAGGCAGTCATTAAACAGTTCTTTGTTTCAGGCTGCGTGATTCACTGGCAAAGAGGGGAGGGGGAAAAGCCCAAGCTCCTTTTGGCTTTTTAATTTTAAAATTAAAATTTTAAAATTCAAACTTTTCATGCAAGGAACAAAGTGTAGATTTTGTTTTCCTTTCTCCCCGCTATAAACATTAATTTGAGAACAGGTCTAAAGTAATTTTGAATCAGATACAAGGCACTTTTCACTTTGAAGGTTAGCTAGCAAGCGAATTAGCATAACAAAACTTCTGAATCACTCCTTGAAAGCTGTCTTTTACACAGATACGCTGGCTTGGCTTTGCAGGCTTTTACAAGCATCAAGAGAATCTTTACTTCCTTGAAGGTTTATGCAGAGAAAAGGCTAACCAATTTGATTCTCTTTCTTCAAACTGTTGCAGCTTTGAGGGGAGAATTAAACTTTGCCAATTTACTATTTGCTTTCAAAAGATGGCACAAATTATGAAAACATTTTCTTACTATTCTGACCCAAATTTGAAGCGTTATATTTCAAATCCAGTCAGATAGTTAACTCAAAAGAAACGATCTTATAATAAACAAATGTATTTTAATGAGAAAGATTACTTGCATTCACGTTGAGATTGGTGCTGCTGGAAATACATGTTTGTTTATCTTTCAGATCCTTTCCTTAGGTAAGAAAATGTTATTGCTCTTCACACCATCTTTATAATGACTGAGGCTATTGTATGACCTCCATGGCCCATGCTTGTTACAGACAGAGAGATTCCCAAGTGGCTTGTGTCCAGGAAGTCTCCCAAAGACCTTTGGAACTCCTCCCACTGACCCATCCACATACCTAGCATTTAACCTAATAACTGCCAGACCTTCCAATATAGAGCTGGGCCATAGAGCTGTATGGGCCATAGAGCTATATGGGCCAGAACAGCTGATATTGTATGGAATAAAACTGTGACCAAATCTGGATGCTCTGCTTCAGATACCATGAAGCCTCCTCCCAGAAGATAACAAAGAAAATGGATTGTGAAGAGGATGTGTAGTGCTCCAGACAATCTTGTGGACCCTGCTCAAGCAATGCTTATGTGCTATGTCCTGGAAGGAAGGGAGGGAACTGCCAATAATCTTTTCTGCCATCCTCACCACTCTCTTCACTGCCTTTCTGTCTGAAGCAGTGATACTTCCAAACCAGACAGTAATGCCATATGACAGGATGCTCTCGATTGTCCCTTTGTACAAAGTGGTAAGGATAGGGCAGCAATTCTCAACCTGTGGGTCGCGACCCTTTTGGGGGTTGAATGACGCTTTCACAGGGGTCGCCTAAGACCATCGGAAAACACATATTTCCGATGGTCTTAGGAACCGAGACACCGCTCCTCTATCCGGCCGCTGCTGCCACCATCCTCCTTCTCCTCTGCTGGCTCCTCCGCCTCCAGGGCACCCTTCTCCTCCCATAGCGCCTGCTCCTGCCCTCGCAGCGCCATCGCATGTGCCCCCAACAACGCCCAAGGCCAGCTCAGCTGCATGGGTGGCCGGGCCGAGCCGGACCTGAGCCGCTGCTGGTGCTGCCACTGGGCTGCTCTGCCACTGCCGCCGCTGCTGGCTAACCTGAGCTGTGGCGCTGAGCCGGTCCCCACGCCTCTTGGTTGTCCGGCTGCGCTCTGCCCCCGGCCGCCCTCCGTGCCGCAGCTTCCCCCATGCCACCCAGCCCGCTTCCCTCGCCGTCGGAGGCCGCCTCAGCCCTTTGGTGCCTGGCACAGCCCTGGGACTGGCAGGCAGGAGCGGCTCCTTCCCGGCTCGCCGGGCTCCGGGCCTCGAAAGTGGCCAGGCGGTGGGGAAGAGGGCAAGGCGGTGGCGATGCCCACATGTGCGTTGGAGGCCAGCCAGCCGGGCTGGGAGGGAAGAAGCGGTGCCTCCCGAGCGGGAGCTGGCACTCCAACCGCGCCCCTCTCACGTGCGACGAGTCAGGGAAGGGTCGTGGCGGTGAAGGGCTGCATGGTGTGGAAAGGGGCTCCTGCGGCCCCACCGCTGTGATGGCGCTCAGGAGGCTGGAGGGGCAGGCAGGTCCTGGGGAGGTGGCTGGGAGAGGGCAAGAGGTGCCGGGATGAGGACGGGGGGGGCTCCAGGTTGGTGGGCATGAGAGGGAGGCCGGTGGTTCTGAGGTGCGCGGATCTTCCGCGCAACTTCCAAGGCCCCGGAGGTGCCGCCGCTTGGCTCTCTGCCAGACTACCATCTCCAGCAGCCCTAAAAAGCACTGTGGAAGAGTGGGAAATGCTGGGAGTTGCAGTTCATCACCATCTGGGAAAACATGGCTCTCCAAAGATCAATCCTTCCTTCCTTCCTTCCTTCCATTCACTTCCCTTCCCCTTCAATCTTCCTTCCTTCCTTCCATCTCCATCCCTTGCCCTTCAATCTCTCTCTCCTTCCTCCTTCAATCTCCTTCCTTCTCCATCTCCTTCCTTTCCCCTTCAATCTTCCTTCCTTCCTTTCCCCTTCAATCTCCTTCCTTCCCCATCTCCTTCCTTTCCCCTTCAATCTTCCTTCCTTCCTTCCCTTTCCCTCCCTCCCAACATTTTTGAGCAAGGAAGAGTAAGCTTCTCCAGCGAGCATTGCTATATTGTTTTTGTGATCAATCACTATGCTTTAATTATGTTCAATTTGTAACAATGAAAATACACCCTGCATATCAGATATTTACATTACAATTCGTAACAGTAGCAAAATTAGAGTTATGAAGTAGCAACGAAAATAATTTTATGGTTGGGGGTCACTACAACATGAGGAATTGTATTAAAGGGTCGTGGCATTAGGAAGGTTGAGAACCACTGGAATAGGGGAAGGAAGATGTGCTTTACTCATGCAACGCAGAAAAAGCAGGCACTGCTGTGCTCACTTCACCAGTGTCATGCTGTTGAGTGACCTAGCTACTTGTTAACTGCACACCCAATTAGATGCTGGCAACCATCTCCTCAGGTGAATCATTAATACAGAGAGGAGTGTGGCTGTGCCTGCCTTTCCTGAAATTGACAATGATGTCTTTGGTTTTTCCAACGTTTAGAACTAGACTGTTTTTCTTACACCAGTTCATCAAACCCTCAACCTCCTTGCCATAAACATCCTCGTTGCCATCTTGAATAAGGTCGACCACTGTATAATAAAGTTCTCATTGCATTGAGGTTAACAAACTGGAAAAACTTGTCCCAGCATATTATTGTTCTTATTTCTCTTGCTGTTATCAGTTTTATCAGGTCATATTCTGTATTGGATTGTCTTCTGCTTCTCATCACCTTGTGATCTCAACAAGTTTGCTTTTAATTTTTATTTCAATTCGGGTCATTCGGGTAAACTACCGTCCCCAGTTTGTCTTTATTTAGCTTTTTTAAAAAATTAAATGTCTTCCCATTCCCCCCCCCCCTTTTTCGCGGGGTAACTATCGTTTATACCCGAAATTTATTTCCGGCTGCGTGAGCGGGTTTTTTTGTTTGTTTGTTCTCGATTTTATCGGAAAACGCTTCTTTCGCACAGCAGGGGCGGATTCCAACGCCAGAGGAAAGCGAAACTGTAACGTTGGCTTTAAAAAAAAAAAAAAAAAATGTCGCTCTCCTTCGGATCGTTCGTCTGCCTCTTGGTGTATCTGCCGTTTACACGTAAGTAACCAGAAAACCGAATCACCCAAGTATCCACCGGGCTCAGGAACGTCCCGGGACTGAAAAAACGCTCGCGAGGCCAGGAAGGAGAGAGAAGCAATATTGTATCTGAATGTTTCGCTTTTTAACCACCTCTCACCTTCTAGGTGGAAATAATTCCCCCCTCCAATTGCAGTTAATTCTTCAAAGGAAAAAGGCGCAGCCGAGTGTCATGGGAAATTGCCACGAAGTCTTCTGAGCCTACTAGGAGGACTTGCTTAAAGGAATGAAAAACGGCCCCGTCTCCACTCCACTTCCCCCCCCCCCCGCCGCCGCTGCGATCCTGTTACGCAGGCGTTTCCAGATCGATCTTTTATAAACGGCTCCGAGCGCCGTTTTTCAAACTTGGCCGGTTTAAGATGCGAGGACTGGCAGTCCTTTGCGGACTTTTTGCTGTTATCAGGGTTGAAAAGTTGACATGTCGTGGATTTTCTTATACTACAGATAAGGGATTGGTTATGACATGGGACCAAGAGATAGCTGTATGTAACCTTAAAGGGGGTTGAAGACTTACTACATTTGTCTATATAATGCTATGTACCGTAGTATGAAGGTTTGAACTATAGTGTAGTATGAACTATGTAGTAATGAAGGTTTGAAGTCACTTCTTTATGTGTTTCTTTTTCTTATAGTATTCTTTCTTTTCTCTGGTTCCTTTTTCATCTGCTTTTTATTTTTTCCCACCATTCTTTTTTCTTTAGTTTGTGTTAGTTTTTACTATTTTAATCAACATCCTTCTTTGTCTTTTTTAAGCACATAAAATTGGCAAAGAGTTCTGCCACTTCCCTTTTCAGCCCATGTGATGGGAATATCTTTTTCCTTTTCTGTCCTCAAGGATGTCAAGTATAAGGCTTATCAAAGGAAACCATGCAATTGGTGTTTACTTTCAATGCTGTTGATAACATGGTTCATCAGCTGTTTGCTGATCAGCTGTTTTGTGTGGAGGGGCTCCAAGAACAGCAACCAACAAGAGGGTGAGAGACGTGGTGGAAAAGCTGTGGATGGTGCCCAGTATCTTGCCAGCAGCTAATACAATGGGGTCGCAACGGACCCAGCTTGATGGTCATTTTTGGAGATCTGTGGCAATGGGGATTGGTGGATCAAAGTTCAAGAGGGCTTGAATTCTGTCTCCTTGTGGTGCTATGTAGGGAAATTCTCTCTCTCTCTCTCTCTCTCTCTCTCTCTCTCTCTCTCTCTCTCTCTCTCTCCCTCCCTCCCTCCCTCCCTCCCTCCCTCCCTCTCATTATTTTTACAAATAAGATGGCAAACACATACAACCCACCTTTCTCTTCCTATTTTTGACACAACAACAACCCTGTGAAGTGGGTTGGACTGAGAGGGACTGGCCCAAAGTCACCCAGCTGATGCTGACTTTCATATGGCCAAGGTAGGACTTGAACACCCAGTCTCCTGCTTTCTGGCCTGGTGCCTTAACCACTAGGCCAAATTGGCTCTCCTGGTTGGCATTCCAGAGGGCAAAGGGTCAGTGAAGCATGGAGAGTTTGGTCAGGAGAAAGAGAGTTAAGAAGGCTCCTCCCTAGCAATTCCCAGAGTATATCTATAGTGATCCAAATAGTTGCTTGAGTTTGGTAAGATTTTTGTCCAGAGCAGAAGTAAATCCACTTGTTTCTTGGCAGTGCTTTTTTTGTAAGAAAAAAGGTGCTGGAACTCACATCTTGTTAATCTTTATATATATATATATATATATATATATATATATATATATATATATATATATATATATATTCAGTTCTTAACATAAATTTAATTTATTGTATTTAAGGCAAATCCGTCAAAAAAAAAAAAGTGCTGGAATGCCATTCAGGTGCGTTCTATGACAAAAAAAAAAAAAAAGCACTGGTTCTTGGGGTCCTGACACTAGTTCATTTTGTTGTATTTCTTGCCCAGCTAAGTGGGGCTTGCTACTTGACTCTTGATAGGATTTCTTTTGTTAGGCTAAGTCATGAATTTTTATATCCTTTTGAAATGGCAGCTTTCGGCACACCGTTCAAATGTCAAGAGGTGCCCTCACTTAGAGGAGATCATTAGAAAGAAAAACTCACAGAACTGTCCCTGAAATAATATTTTACTGCTATAGATAATGTGGAAAAGTTTTATAAATTTTACAAAAAATAAAAGACAATACAAAAACAAAAAACAACATATACAAATAAAAACAAACATTACCCAACAAAACCCCCCTTCCCCCACCCCTACCCAAACCCCCCCTTCCCCCCCCAGGGCCTCCCAGAGCAGAATATAGGCTTAATTAAAAAAAGTTAAAAAAATTTTATATTTATATAAAAAAAAGAATATAAAATAGAAAATATATATATATATATAAAGTTAAAAATTATGAAAAAACTATATAGTATTTTTTTATATCAAATTTAAATTGTATGAATTTTATCCATTTATCCCAAACAGCAAGGAATTTCTCTTGCGTTTGACCCTTTAAGAAAGCCGAAATCTTTGCCATTTCCGCCAAATGAGACACTTTAAGAAACCATTCCTGCAATGTAGGCAAAGATTCCTTCTTCCAATATTGTCCTACTAACAGCCTCGCAGCTGTAATCAAATTTAACATCAATATAACCTCCTTTGTATCACAATCAATAACTATACCTAACAAAAATAATTGTGGAGTAAATTTTACCCTCCTTTTAAAAATTCTCTGGATATTCCACCATATCTTAATCCAGAATGCTTTTATCTCTCTGCACGACCACCAAATATGATAATAAGTAGCGTCCATACAACCACATCTCCAACATTTAGGTTGTAAGTCAGGGTACATAAAAGACATTTTTTGTGGATCAAGGTGCCATCTATAAAACATTTTATAAAAATTCTCCCTTAAGTTCTGTGCTTGTGTAAATTTGACATTTCTCACCCAAATAGTTTCCCAGGTGTCCAATGGAACTGGCTCACCAAAATTCTGCGCCCATCTAATCATACAATCTTTAATTAGTTCCGTTTCTGAATCCAATTCAACTAAAACCCCATAAATCCTCTTAATGTGGGTTTGTCTTTGATCCTTCACTTGCTTAATAAGATTTTCATCTTCTCTGAGAAAACCCACCTTACAGTCCATCTTCCATCTGTCTAATAATTGCCTATATTGGAACCAAGAATAAATAATATTTTCTTGTGCTAACTCTTCCCGTGATTTTAACTGCCAGTTTTGTCCATCCCATTTAAGTAACTGTCTATAGGACACCATATCCATTTTAACCCCTCTTTTTATTCCTTCTATTGCATGCCAAGGTATAGCCCATAATGGTACTTTGAAATCACTTTTATAATATTTTCTCCAAACCCTAAGTAAAGAAATTCTTAAGATATGAGATTTAAAAGCCCAATCCATTTTTTTATTAAATATTAAATAGGCATGCCACCCAAAAAGTAAATTCCATCCCTCTAAGTGAAGTATATCAGAATTTGTCAAATTTACCCAGTCACTAACTAATGTTAAAACCACCGCATCATAATATAATTTCAAATTCGGCACCTTGAGTCCTCCCCTCTCACGGAAATCTTGCATAATTTTAAATTTAACCCTTGGCTTTTTCCCTGCCCAAATAAATTTATTAAGGCCTTTCTGCCACTCAGTTAAATTGATCTCATTCTTCAAAATCGGTATCATTTGGAACAAAAAGAGAAACTTGGGTAGAATATTCATTTTTATCACTGCAATTCTTCCCATGAGGGATAATTGCAACTTTTCCCAATTCTTCAAGTCTCTCTGTACCCTAACCCACAACCTTTCATAATTATTTTTAAATAATTTTGCATTAGAAACAGATAGCATCACCCCCAAATATTTTACCTTATTAACAATTTCAAAACCCGTCAAATTAACCAAAGTCTGCTTCTCCCGACTAGTCATATTTTTAGGTAAAATTTTAGTCTTATTAACATTAATCTTAAAACCCGAAACCAAACCATAATTATGAATCAACTGTAATAATTTTACTACAGAATAAGTAGGTTGCGACAAAGTAATAACCAAGTCATCCGCAAAAGCTCTTAACTTATACTCTTTTTTATTAACTTCTATTCCTTTAATTTCCTGCGACTCTCGAATTTTGATCAACAGTATTTCCAGTGTTAAGACAAACAGCAACGGTGATAATGGACAACCCTGTCTAGTACCTTTCTCTATTGTAAAAACCTCTGACAAGCCTCCATTAACGATAAGTTGTGCCGTTTGTTTTTGATATATTACCATAAGAGCTTGCAATATCTTTTCACCAAAATTCATCTCTTCCATTACTCTTAACATAAAATGCCAATTCAATTGATCAAAGGCTTTTTCAGCATCTAAAAATATCAGCCCTGCAGGAACTTGGTTATTTTTATCTAAATATTCTAATAAATTAATAATTTGTCTGACATTATTTTTCATATACCTTCCAGTTATGAACCTAGATTGATCTTTATGCACAAGGTGGTGCACCACCCTCATAAGCCTATTTACTAAGATTTTTACAAATATCTTATAATCCACATTTAAAAGAGATATAGGCCTATAATTCTTTGGTAAAGTAAGATCTTGATCTTACTTTGGAATCAATGATATAAAAGCAGTACGCCATGAGGGAGGAATCTCTTGACCCTGTAAAATGCCATTAAAAAGATCACCTAATGGTTGAATCATCTCCTCCAATAAAGCTTTATAATAAACAGCTGTTAACCCATCCGTACCCGGTGCTTTCCCTGGTTTCAATTGTTGAATTGCTAGCGAAATTTCCTCCTTAGTAATTAAACCATTAACTTCATGTTTCTGATCCTCTGTCAATTTAGGGAAACTAACCTCGCTTAGATATTTATTTATCTCTAAAATTTGCACATTAGTAGATTTATATAATTTTTGATAATAATCCAGAAAAGATTTCTTAATCAGTTCCTTCTGAGAAACTAATTTACCCTTGTAATTTATTTTATCTATTGTTCTCTGT